CCTCCTCCTCCTCCTCCTCCTCCTCCTCCTCCACCGCTGGCCCTGCCGACACCTGGTTCTGTCCACTAAGCTCCGTCGCCCTACACGCCACCCACCCGCACCGTGCCCTCCGCCGCGACCACCGCGACGCGCCCAGGAGCACCGCACCCTCTCCCACCTCACTCGGACCTCTGGCAGGCCCAGCGGAAACGGGCACCTCCTCAGAGAGAGGCGCGCCGAGGTGGGCCTCAGCTCCCCCCCCCCTGGGGGGCCGCGGGGCCCACGCTCGGGCCGCATTCGCACCCGCACGGCGCCGGCGCGTACAGGCGCCACCAGCCTCTCCCCGCCTCCTCTCCCGCTCTGCAGACCGCGACCGTCCGTCGTTCCTGCTTCTCTCTCTCTCTCTGTCTCTTTCTCTCTTCACCTCTTGGCTATGCTCCGCCCTCCCGCAAGACCGGCATCGAGGGCAGCAGGGCGATCGCTCGACACTGTCCGCATCACCGAAACACCGATGAGGAGGAGGAGGAGGAGGAGGAGGAGGAGGAGGAGGAGGAGGAGGAGGAGGAGGAGGAGGAGAGAGGAGGAGAGGAGGAGAGAGAAGCAGGAGTAGTAGGGGAGGAGAGAGGAGGAGGAGGAGGAGGAGGAGGAGGAGGAGGAGGAAGTGGAGGAGGTTCCAGGAGGAGGAGGAGGAGGAGGAGGAGGAGGGAGGAGGAGGAGGAGGAGGAGGAGGAAGGAGAGGAGGAGGAGGAGTGGGGTAGGAGGAGGAGGGGAGGAGGAGGAGGAGGAGGAGGAGGAGAGGAGGAGGGAGGAGAAGGGGGAATCCCTCCTCGCTCCTCAGGAGGAGGAGTGAGGAGGAGGAGGAACGAGGAGGAGGGAGGGAGAGGGAGTTTCTCTGCTTCCTCAGGAGGAGGAGGATGAGGAGGAGGAGGAGGAGGAGGACGAGGAGAGGAGGAGGAGGGGGAAGGGGAAGGGGGGGGGAGGTCCCCCAGCTCCTCAGGAGGAGGAGGAGGAGGAGGAGGAGGAGGAGGAGGAGGAGGAGGAGGAGGAGGAGGAGGAGGAGGGGGAAGAGGAGAAGGAGCAAGAGGAAAAGGAGAAGGAACGACCGTACCTACCGTCAGTCCAACAGGCGTCTATGGCCTCATCGCGCGCCTTGCAGTAGCGAGGCACTCCGTGCCTGTAGTGTAGAGAAGCGCGGCGCGTGGCGCGGCGTGTGAGATGATGCGCATGTTATTGTAAAAGTGCCATGGCAGTGCTGCCCGACGGACAGCTTCTGGAATTGCGTGCTCAGGAATTGCGTGCTGCCCAGGCATCCCAAGGCCGATGCGGGTGATGGGGGTCCGAGGAGAGAAAGGAACGAGGCAACGCGAGAAAGTGAAGGAGGCGAGGGCAGGTGAGGTAATGGCCGAGACGGTCTGGGCAGGTTTCGCATCCGAACAGTCAGGTGCGGCGCGGCCCGAAGGGGAAACGGTGGCCTGTCCACCACGCTCCCGCTGGTGTTTTATAAACCGCCCAGCGGATCGCTGGGGCCTTCTTCGTCGAAAGGTGGTTGGCTAGTTCCTGCCAACGGTCGTTGATATTCAGCGGCGACGTGGTATCGGGCAGCGCTGTCGAGAGGCGGCGTGCCAGGGTCTCGGCGAACTTGTCGGGGTAGAGAGGCGTGAAGGACCGAAGCGAAGGATCGCTGGACCCTGGCGCGCCTGGATTCGCGAGCGGCTGAGGTATGTTCGTCGTCGGCCGCTCGCCTAGCATCCCACCAGACGTGTGGCGGCACTAAATAGGGTGGCGTGCCGTCTGCTAGAGCTCGCCAATACTTTACGATGCCTGGAGCCTTCCAGAACACAAGGGAAGCTGTGGCCCGAATACGGGCCTGGGCCAGGTCTGCCCGGGACAATTCAGGATTCAGCTGGTCCTGTGCCATGACTAGCGAGCGACACAGCGGTTTGAAGTTCGGAAGCGTGGCAATGGCAGTGCGCCAGGCTGATGCAAGTGAAAGTGTAACTAGAGCGTTGGGAGAAGACGATTGCGACCACGAACGAGTACCGAGGAGGTCGACGAGGCGCCAGGAGTTGGGGGGGGCCTGAGAATGTTGTGCATCGTGCCACGCCCATGCCGCAGGAACGTGGCTGGATATGGAAGATACTGCGTGAGGTACGAACGTACGGCGATAACACACGTGTTGTAAAGTTTGAGAGCTACTGCTGGGCCCGGTGCGCTCGCTGCAAGCTGTACCACGCGCAACCAGTATTTGTCAAATGCTGCCCTCCACTGTATCTCCAATGTCACTGCGAGGCCTATGGGCACGCCTAGATAGCGTGCAGATTCGGCTATTTGGATGTGCTGCCATTCGGGAACTGGGAAAGAAGGCGCTGCGTGAGAGATTGTACAGCCGGTGAAAAAGGCTGCCCACAAGGGCACAATCACCGCCTTCTGTGAAGCTCGAGTCCTGCAAGACGCTATGGCCCGAAACGGGGGGGGGGGAGGTAGGGGGGGTCCCAAGGCGAGCGAGAACCAGACCCAGGTCATCAGCACAGGCTCCGAGCCTGTTGGATCCAGGGGGGTTACTCAAAATCTGGACTAGGTGGCGGATGGGTGCGTCAAGTGCTAAAACCCAAATCGATCCTGAAAGGGGACAGCCTTGGAGGACTCCAGAGCCGATTTCGAACATGTACTGGAGGCGGCCTCCTGCACGGGCCCAGGCCCCAGGATAATGATAGAGAGCGTAGATGACACTTAGATAACCTGGTGGGGCCCCGTGGGCAACCAGGGATGCAAACAAAAACTCCCATCCTAAGAATGGGAAGGCGGCGTTTATATCAAAGCTGACAAGACTGGGGAGGGCATCTGGGGAGTGTCCTGCTCAACGGGCCTCAGAATCGAGTGTCAGTACGTGTCGTCCGAAGTGCCTACCCTTGACGAAACCCTGCTGAATGTCGGTTGTGCGATCCCTGACTATATCCACGAGGCCCATATTCACAACGTGTGCGATCAGTTTAGCGTCGCAGTTGTTCAGGGAGAGGGGCGGGTAGCTCCTGGGGCCCGAAAGACGGCGAACTGGCCCTGCGGTTCGTCTTTTTTTGGAAGAAACGCGAAGACCGAGTCGTTGAACGGGTACGGGGCCAGGCCCGCTTCGAACATCTGCAGCATCAGGTCATAGAAAATTTGAGACGATCCAGAAAGGGTGGCCCATGCTGCATATGGGATTTGACTTGGGCCTGGAGCTGGAACCCGCAGGTCCGCGCAATCGAACTTGGGAAGGTGCTTGGACAGGTACTGCTGGACCGCCGTAGGGTCCACGATCTTGCTCGAGAAGATAGGCTGCCAAATCTTCTGGAGGCCTCCAAAGATACCTTCGGGAGAGCGGGTGGTGGGAAGGTTTGCTGTTTGTGCCCTGTCTTTCGGTACCCTGAGTCCTGAGAGTACGAGACGACGCCGAAACTGATTCCAGGCTTGTGCCCTGCGGGTGAGCTGCATCGCAGCCTTCCGACTGCCTGCCTAGTCCATCTGCACGTCGGATTGGGACTGCAGTTGGCGCTTGGTGGTGACGGCGACGCGTCTGTCGCAATCGGTTGTGACCGCCGTGTCCATCTATTTGATATACTCGTCCGTGTTCGTGAGCTCGGGGTCGTCGCTGGTGATGCAGAGGTGCGCGCTGCCGATCTCGGTGGTGGCGATAAGCAGCGCCGCCGTGTCTGAGCCCTTTCCGCCAGATAGCACGTGAACTTGCACGCATCGCAGTAAGCCTGCCATGCTTCGCCCAGCGACTGGGGTCTTGGAGTGAGGCACGCTGTTGAAGATTACGAGTAAGCCTCGCCGCTTCTTTGATGATGAGTTTGTGTTGTTTCCAAACTGCCGTAGACGTGAGCGCAGCCTTGGCGATGTTGTCCTTCAGGAAATGGAAGTGGCGCTGGGAGAAGGAGAAGGAGAAGGAGGAGGAGGAAGGGGACCTTGTGAGCTTGTGACTTGCTCTGGCAGACGCCTTCTCTGATGGACAATGGCCCTCTGTCAAGATCAGCCTCTTGCAGGGAAACTCGTTCCGCCCTTCGGTAGCAGCCTTCTGGAGAGGCGGGCCAGCGCGCTCAACCCCGCTTTGGTGGGCGGCCGAGATGGACCCCTTGTCTGAGGGCAAACCTCCGCCAGGAGCTGGGGAGTAGAAAGAGGCGCAGCTTGCCCGGGTGTCCTGGTTCAACTGAGAGGAGGAGGACGAAGACGACGGCGGGTGCATAGAGGAGTAGTCTTGTCGCCCCTTGGGGGCGAGCCAACTGCGAAATTGTCGCCGCTCTCGTG